TGTCTTAAAGTCAGAAACACTTGGATGACCTCTAATTTTCTGCTTCTGAATTGAGATAATCCTTAAAAATCTTAGAAATATGGTATCTAACCAGATGCTTAATCTGCATGGCATTACCTTGGCCTCCAGTAACACTGTGAGGAAACTTGTAGTTGTTTTGGACCAGGATATATCCTTCAAAGTGTATATTAAAAAATGATGACAGATGACCACAACTCTGAGCCTGGTTCTGCTGGAGGTTTCTTCCTGTTAAAAGGGAGTTTTTCCTTCCCACTGTCACCAAAAACCTGTTCATAGGGGTCATCTGACTTTTCAGTGTTTTCTGTGTATTGTAGGGTCTTTACCCTATAATATAAAGTACCTCGAGGCAACTGTTGTGAGTTGGTGCTTTATAAATAAAATTGAATTGAATAGCTTGCTTCATGTGACCACCTTTCCTGACTGCTGATAGTGCATCGCAAAAACAGAAACACACACTGGGTATGTTGTACTCATGTATAGTATATGTCCCTAAATGCGCATGTTTTTACACAAAGTGTCATTGCTTAGACAAAGTCCCACCCTTGCAGCTCAGATGTTAGTCAGGCAGTTGGGTGTAGCTCCTCATAAAGCTTGCATTTGTTGTGTAACACAGTGATCCTGGTTTGACATCTAGCATTTGGCCTCAGTGGCCACAGCAGTAGCTTCTGAAGGGAAAATCAAATCAATGCTTCATTGACTCTGTCAGAAAGTGATGGAAACCTAATTAAAGGCCCTACAGGCAAAGCTGGTCATTTTATGCAGGCAAGCAGTAGGGCTCTAAAATCAAGCTAGTAATATTCACTATTACTGCGATCTGTGTTCTATGGGAGGGAATCTGTAAGCACAAACATGTATGAGAGACAGTTAAAAGTTAATCGTCAGGGAAAGTATAGAAACCTTTCAATTTCATTTTTTGCTGTGGAATTTTCAAAAAGCTGCAGAATGCTTGTTTGCTACAACTTTTCAAATGTACACATAACTGACTAAAGAATTCCTCACAACATGAAACAAATATGCAATATATGAGAATGTTTCTGCAGCAGCTCAAGTCAGGAGACTGCAAAGACACTGTACCTGTCCGTTTTGCAGAGACCCTTCAGTCACAAGATAATAAATCAAATAAGAATGTGAGTCATTTACTCAAAAAAGTCAGCTGGTACAACACACCTCAGCCCTTGTTGGACATTGAAAGTATTCAGATTTAAAGCACCTCTGCAGTTGCTTCACTTCAGACACTGAAGCTGGGCATCCCCATTTTTATATTGTCTATGTAATTGTGTTTTTCATAATACTATTGCACACTGCATTGACAGTGTGAGATCAGTGTTTTAATATCATCGTGACATGAATGCAAAAACATGTGCTCACTGACTGGAGCTGTGGGAAATCGTTCAATAGTTAAAATATCATCTAAGCTAAATGTTAAAGTATTTTTTATAAGAAATAGAATAAACTGTCAAAATATGAGTGTCAGTGTGTTTTTGGCCAAAGTCATGGATATTCTTTCATTACCTTCATGTGAGAGTTTACAATCAGCCTGTATGCACTTTGTTGGATTTAATTTACACAGCAGGGTTTGTAATGTATCTAATCACATGCATAAGACAACTCCTAAAGTATAAGTTGTTTACACTGAGGCAGGTAGGACATAAGCCATAAAACCACAGTCTCTACATTAGATGAGTGAACTTTTAACTTTGATGTTGAGATGTCAATGCTGGCTCAGGTATCTTTATGTTGAGTATACCAGAAGCAGGCCCTGTGCGAAAGACCAGCCATAAACATAAACATAAACTCTCTCCACATGGAAGAATTATATTGAATGCACTGTTTGGAGTTGGAACTGTTGGCGTGGGAGAAAGGAGTAGGGTGGGGGCAATGTCCCGTCGAGAGGCAATCAATGCTTACATCCTGTGAACTCTGCATGTAACACGGGAAAGCACTCACAACAAACAAGCAGCCAGAAAACGCACAGCCATACAGAAGCAAAGGGAGAGGAGAGTTCTGGGATGTGGACTGGAGTTTTGGATCGGCACAAAAGAACCTCTAGGTAGCTCAATGGGGTAGCCGTACAGACCCATTTGGTTCCCAGGATAAACATAAACACAATGAAGGGCATCAAGAGGCCAAGAGGGAAGCCATACCAGTGACATGTAAGTGCTTCTGAAATGGTTGATGCGTTGAAACGAAAAGATCTGTTATGTCATCAACGAGGCCCTGAATGACTCGCGTAAGCTAGTTTTCTCGAACGACCAAAATAGTCTTCCCATATGGAAAATAAAGAAAGAAATTTTAGTAAATGTTTATGTTTAATACATGTATTGTGTGTTTTGTAAGACCTATATTCTTTATACTGTGATTTACATTAAAATATCACCTATTTGATTTTCTCAGGCTACATAATTATAAGAACAGGGATAACATAACATGAATTAAAAAACCTATTATTGGATTGAATGGGAAACATTTTTTCACTCATTTTATGTACTCAAAGTTTTGCATTTTGTTGTGGTTATTGTAAAGCAACAGAAGATTTTTCCAACTGAATTTATGACTTTGTAAATAATAACACGAGAGCATTTAGTTTGCGTATCTACAGACACTAACATCCAGTGTATAGTATGCATTTCTATTGCCAGTCCCTTTTTTCTCAGGCCCTGAAGCAAACCAGGTGTGGTTTAAAGAGGAATCACAATAAAATCATTGGCTCAAAGTCATCTTGCTTTCAAACAGATGTTTCTGAGCCCTGGACTCTTGTGTGAATGTCTATGAGGATAATGATAATGTTAGTGGGAATGGACTGCATTTATATAGAACTTTTCAAGTCTTACCAACCATTTAAAGTGCAACATGCAACATTAAACAATATATTCATGCACACACACATATATAACCATATATTCAACTTTTGTCTACCTTTCATCCATGCTCAATTTAGAATCCCATTTGACCTAACATACATATCTTTGGATTGTGGTAGGAAGCTGGAACACCCAGAAGAAAACTGCGCAAGCTAGTCACGGGTCTCCTCACAGTCCTTATTTTTTTATGCTTATTTACGTTAACTATAAAGCTGCTGTGTTATAAAACAGCAAAGTCCCACTGTATCTTCTCTTAGCTCTTCACCCCACATTTGATGCAGTTTTGTTACTGTTTCTTTTTAGTTTTTTGCTGAATTTGTACACAAACAGGTCAAAATTATATCAGCTGGGTTCATAGGCTGGAATCTTGGTTGTGCGTTGTCCTGCATATAAGGGCATTGATGTGCATGCTCTGCAGGCCAAAAGTGTGCAGGCCATTGTTTGTTTGCAACCATTCTGTCTTCTTGTGTTTTTTGTATTTTTGGCGCTATTTTAATGATTATCAGAAAATACAGTAATCACATTGGTATCTATAGAATTGTCATAAATAGTAGAATCTGTTGATACAATGAACAATATTTAAAAGTTAATATTAAACGTTAACTGTGCATGGTTCTAGCCAACATGCACAGCGGCATGGTGATTAGCACTGTTTCCTCACAGCATGAAGGTCCTGAGTTCAATTCTGCCATCAGGCCCGCGTCTTTCTGTGTGGAGAAAGACTCCAACTTCCTCCCACAGTCCAAAGACACGTAGTTAGTGGGGATAGATTTACGGTAAACTTGGATTTGCGGAAGAGAATGGATGGATATTAAAATGTATTGTGTTTTGTGTGATAATGGGTTGTATTTGCATGCTGTATCTCCACAGTTTGAGTATGTGACAGTGACATGGTGAGAAGCTGACCATGGGTGACTGGAACCTGCTGGGCAGCATCCTAGAAGAGGTCCATATACATTCCACCATTGTGGGAAAGATCTGGCTTACTATACTCTTCATCTTTCGCATGCTTATTCTGGGAGCAGCTGCTGAGGATGTATGGGATGATGAGCAGTTAGAGTTTGTCTGCAATACTGACCAACCAGGCTGTAAGGCAGTCTGCTACGATCGTGCTTTCCCCATTTCCCTAATTCGCTTCTGGGTCTTGCAAGTGATTTTTGTGTCTGCGCCTTCACTCGTCTACATGGGCCATGCTCTTTACTGCATTCGTTCGTTGGAGAAGGAACGTCACCGACGACGGGCCCAGCTAAAGGAGGAGCTTGATGAGGTTGAGTTGGCGTTGGATGAACAAAAGCGGGTGGAAAGAGAGCTGAGGAGATTGGAAGAGCAGAGGAAGGTGAAGAAGGCACCTCTGAGAGGCTCTCTATTGAGGACATACATCATCCATATCCTTACACGCTCCGTGGTGGAGATCTGCTTCATCCTGGGCCAGTATATACTATATGGTGTCCAGCTGGAGCCTCTCTATAAGTGTGAGAGACTGCCTTGCCCCAACAGCGTAGACTGTTACATCTCTAGGCCCACAGAGAAGACGATATTTATGGTCTTCATGATTGCCATCGCTGGTGTCTCACTTTTCCTAAACATTCTAGAAATATCCCACTTAGGTATCAGGAAAATCAAACAGGTGTTGTATGCAGAGAGGTACACAGAAGATGACAGTTTGATTTACAAGTCCAAGAGGAAGTCATCCTTACCACATCTCTGTGTAACAAGCAATGTATCACCTCACGATGGGCCTTTAACTCAAACCTTCAAAGTGATTCCAGGGGCGGACCTGAAACCGAGTCATTACAACAGTGGGCTCAAAGCCAATCAGGACGCACCAAGACACAACAGCTTGGCTCATGTGGGGCACAGTCAAACCATCTATATCTATCCCCAAGCAAGGAATCCACCAACGTCTGCCCTGAGCTGTGCAATCCAAGCTCCCCAAACTAGTGAGGGTTCAGAGGTCCCCACAAACCTGGACCTCAATCAAGCCTGGATCCCTGTCATGTCCACTGCAGATGGGACTCAAACAAGCCACAAGGACATTCATGAGGAAGACCATCCTCACCCCAGCCATTTGGAAGCTCTGCTGGCCAGTAGCAACGTCAGGCCCAGAGCTATTCCAAATCTTAATGAAAATGAAAGAAGGGAGTCAGTGGGGAGCGAGTTCCTGATCCCCAACACTAGGAAGACTAGCTTTATGATCAGGCCGCCATCTGAGAGCTTGTCGTCCATGACTGGCTCCACAAGTCCCTCCTTGCATACATCAGAAGAGTCCGATGAACTGGGGTCGTTGCAGGGAGACATGCCGATGATGCCACCAGCCGGAGGCCGAAGAATGTCAATGGCAAGTAAACAGCAGTCTCATGTGCCTAAATAACAGAACACGATTGTCCAGAAAGTTGATCTCACCTATTCAAAGTCTGAATTAGACTGTACAGTACTATAATTATATACAAACTGTGTGTGTAATTGTAGATACTCTACTATCTATTCAGTATTCTGTGGAAATAATGATTAGATTTCCAAATTCCCCTAAATTATTAGAGATAAAGGCATTAAATGGCTTCTCATTTGTTTGACCTCTTGTCAGAAATTTAAGGACACATCAGAGTTACAGAGTTGGCAAATAATTATTTCACTATAATTTTAATTGAAGAGCTCAAAATTTCAGTCCTAATGAAATATTCAAAATTGGAACATATTGTATTTTTATTTTATAAGACAAATTTCATGCACGGTTTGCCAATGTTTAATTGTTCTGAAATTAAGAGTAATTAGAATAGATTAAAAATTAAGCATATATGTTAAGCACACATGCTTTAACAGATTTTTAAATAACACTGCATTAACCTTAAGATCCCATGTCTAACTAAACTGGTTGGTCCAGAGCTGTATAGCAGCCCTGACACAAATAAAATAAGTTTTATAATAAAAATAATATAATAAGTCATTCATCTTTTTGCTTTTTCTGAATGTGATGAAAATGTCTTTTTGTCTTTTCCAGAGTATGTTTCTGGATATCTCCTCAATCATGAAGAAGTGAAGAGACAAGGCTAATGTCATGGCTGTAAGAGCTGTTGTCCACAACCCAGCTAGGTCACAAACAAGGGAGAAACTGTATCAATGATCCAGCCATCAGCATTGATCCACTCAAGTCACATGTGGCCCAAACCACTCAGCCATGATGAGGCAGCAGACTCAGTGCCAAAGCACCTTACAATGTCTACATGTTCACATTAATAGAAAAGGGTTTTTTAAAAATGGACATCTTTCAGTGTGTTGGCCAAATTTTTGATAATTTTTAAGCAAAAAACAAAAAGAATTATTAATCATGGAGCATTGCGCTTAAGAGGATCTGTTTGTTTCTGTAACATGGACTTTATGAGCTTAAATACCTTTTCTAAGTCAAAGACTTCATTAGAATGTGTGTGTGAGTGTGTTCTGGTTGCTCCTACCTTGGTGCGGACCAAAATCTGAAATTTCCTGTACTGGTGGGAACCAACAGCCCTCATGGAGACCAAAATCCAGGTCCCCACGGGGTTGAAGGCATTTTTTACACTCAAAATGTGGTTTTAGTGTCAGGGTTACAGTTGGGTTATGATTAGGTTTAGGGTACGAGTTAGGTTTAGGCTTTCATCTTTGATGGTTGGGGTTAGTGGCTACTGAAAGCATTATGTCAATGGGATGTCCCCACAAGAATAGCAACAGCAGTGTGTGCGTGTGTGTGTGTAGTGCAGTGATTTCATGTGGAGTTATACTTTATATTGTATTAAAATGAAATATTTATTAGCAAAACAAAACAAACAACCCCACAAAAAACTTTTTTCAACAACTATTTAAACAAAATACACACAAACACACACCACTATGGAATTTCCATGCTTTTTATTTTATTTTTCAACAACGATTGCCCAGGCAAAATGTATGTTTTTCTCATATCAAATAACCAAGGCATGGCATTGCACAATAGTTACAAAAAAAACCCCTAAACACTGGTCATTTGAATATTCAAAGATAAAAAAAGAAATGAAAAATACTAAATCTGTTTCTAACAGTCATGTTGCAGGTAAAATGAAAATGTAAAATGTACAAATACTATAAAAAGTTACAAACAATGCCACAGAAGCTGTCTACTTGTCTGTCCTATGGTCTTTACTCATGAAGAGGTATGCTGAAGCATGCAGGTAGATACATGTTAAAAGTGTGTTCAACTGTTTATTTTTGTTGGCTTTGTTTTCTTAAAACAACAAGTTCACAACCCAAGATTCATTCATTCTGTAAACTGGCTGGATAAAATAGGTAACGCTATTAGTCTGCTATCAGATATCAGATCACTGCAAACTGGAGGCATCTGAAACTTGAATGAATGTCAGAAAACTCTTCCCATATACCCAGTGCTGTGTGCCAAATAAACACTGTCTTCAATTTCCTGGTAATGCTGACAAATTTATCTTTCAAAATATAACATTACATAAAATAATTTAAAGCTGCATTTCATTTTATTGTCACAAGTACAATGATATCATTTTACCATAGTAACATATGCTGCCCCATTACATTTGAAATGGCATTACATGCGCTACATAACTTTTTCTATGATAAAAATATTTATCAAAAAGACTCCTAGACATTCTACAAATGTTGCACCCTGACATTTGGATTTCTAAAATTCAGACCACCAAATGATACCTTTTACTTCACTGAAGTGAAACCTTCAATTAAACCAAAATCTTGTTAAATTTACGGTCAAAACAAGGCACAGAATCACTGCATGAAGTTTCTTCATGACTGCACAAAGTGCATGTGGTGAACAGGAGTGAAAACATAATTCTATGATATGACGTTTTCCAGTCTTACAGCAGTTTTATATCACTCCTTTATTCAAATTAGGGATTAAATATTCCAAAATGTACAACAAAACTTTAATGTTGACTCAAAGTGATAGCTGATATTATGATTGCACACACTACATTCCCAAAAAATATCAAAACCCCAAATATTTATCACATATCTTTGCAATTAGTGTTTTTTCCCCTCACAAGACATTTTCTTTTAGAAACCAGACATAAAATAGGTGGGTGTAACTGGATTAAGCATGTTATATTGACTTCTTTAAAATTTGAAGGTGTTTTGTAACAGGGAAAGTGAATATTCTGTGAGAAACAGTGTTGTAAGCTCATCAACAAATATGGATCAGAATAATTAGATCAAGTGTACATCTCCTTTATCCAAGAGGACATTTGAGAAAGCATTGGGCATATGAAAAAAACCAACACACACGAAGGAAAAGAAGTTATAGCACATAATCTTATGGATAAATACAAATAAAAACAATGATAGATGTTTGATACTGTGAGATAACCCAACACATTTTCAAAACAAAGTGTTTTTAATTTTCAAAACATTTATTTATTTCAAGTAATTTTTCCATTTCAGCACTTTTATACAAACCATGCATGTTCTGTGATTATTCCACATTTTCATAACAATGTTTTCCAGTTTAATGATGTTTCTTAATTACATAAGTTTTTAATATATTGATTGCTGGCTCTCAATATTTTCAGAGGGGAGGAAATGGAAGGTTCATCAATAATGAAACAAAATGCCTGAAATAAACTTGTGGAAATTCTACTACTAGACCCTGGTGATGACAAAATTTGATTGCCTTGTTTTGTGACACTTACAGTGCAGTTTTTTATAAGAGCAGTGGAGTTTCCAGAGAATAAAATATTACTTCGATGGTTAAGCCTAAACCCTCTAGCAGCACCAGTTAGAATCCTACTCTTATCACAAAGTCTTGAAACTTTTAACCAATCTAAATAAAACATCATCATTTCTATTAAAATGATCTGTGTTAATTTTATCACTACAGTTAAAAGAACTTTTACTACACTACATTGTAACTGACTCACACCTCTTTATGTTAAAATGTTACAACTTAAAAGTACAAGTGTGTGTGGCGATAGTGAGTGAGGGACCTGCTCGTGTCATTCTCATGTGTTAAAGCTCACATCCTATCCATTAAGAGTACTTTTTGAAATATCCTATCATCTTTACCACACTAATAGCTTCACATTTACATAATCACGCAGGGAAGTTTTGACTCTTTAGTTCCTGGGTTGATATCTGAGAATAAAGATGAGTGTCATATTAGACTTTCCTGTGCTAAAAGTGGCACAACCCACATTAAAATGCCATGGGCATGCTTCATCATAATGTTCACTGTGTAGCAGCAACAACACAGACACCAGCAGCACTCACCCCTGCCACGTGCCTCACCATTGACATTTCAACAGATGAATCTGGCGTCCCTTTAAATCAATATGTGCCAGTGTGCTTGAAACTTTGAACCACCACGCAGTATTACAGATACTGGTGCGTATGTAGAAATTCGCTATTTGCTTGGAGTTTCAGCACATTGAAATCATTTGTTAATTTGAAACTGAACATGCACAGTTGTCTTATGAATAATGCAAGATGAGTGCAATTTAATACATAATTACTACAAACACTAAAATATTACTAATACAATAAATACATGGGTCAAAAGGAAAGCAATAACAGAATATGATTTCCTTACACTTCTCCTTCTGAGCATGGAAAGTTATAAATTCTATTATCCAGTTCCACAAATAGACTCTATGTACTGGTCTTTTAAACTGTCGGTTACAGATCGTACCAGTATAACTGAATTTTAAACCCATTATAATGGTTAATGTATCCCAATGATCCAAGACATTATGACCTCTCTCAGACAAAGCCAATGATTATTTGATTATTTTATAATTTCACATGTCAACATCTGAGATTTACTAAAGTTTAAATTCCAGCAAAAACAGTGACTTCTCATTGTTAGCATGTTGCAATCGAGAGAAATGCCTAGCCTAATTTAAAGCCTAATTTTCTGGGGCTAATCAAACACAGTGGTAATAGTGATAACATGGTCAGCAAACCATTTGGGAGGAGCTTCTTTGGAATCACCAATCTTTCCTGGCCAAATTCCCAAAGAGAAGAATCCAGATAAACAAACAACAAAAACATCTCTGTAGAAATGATCCATATAAGATGATCATTTTTTAACAGTGTCTATGGCAATATTGAAGTGAGGGACTAGTTCACAGTAATAACATGGTCAGCAAACTATTTGGTAGGAGTTTCCTACCAATCTGGATATAAAAGGAAATCCATTCTGCATGAAGCTTGTCAGCAGATGGAAGCATTAGGTGTCTCCTGGTAGACAGCTACACTCCCGTTGGACTTTAGTGTGACTGTGAAACAACCATGACCAAAACCAGCTGACAGCGTGTTACCTCAAATCATCACAAACTTTCGAAACTTCTCATTGGACACCTTGGATTCTGTTGCTCTCCACTCTTCCTCTAGACTCGACTTGATTTTCAAATGAAATACAAAATTTGCTTTCATCTGAAAATATGACTTTGGACCACTGAGAAACAGACCAGCTCCTTTGCTTTTTACCTTAGCTCTGCTAAGATGCTTCTGACATTGTCTTTAATTAAATGGTGAATTTATAAAAGGAGCAACATCTGTGCACGGTGCTTTTGATGCACCAGTACAGCCTCAGTACACTCTCTGTGAAGCTCTCCCAAGTTTCCAAGTGGATATTTATTTATCTATTTATACTATTTTACTCAAGCTCAACATTATTTTTTTATGACTTCTGATTTTCAAATGTTTTGAATGTAATGAATACAGAATATATGGAAGTTGATGTTTTTTATAGGATTTTTTTTTTTGCAATATTCAAATATTCTTATATGCAGTAGTAACGGTTTTGAGTTATATGCTTTATAATCAAATGCAGTAATTTCTTTGTAAGCTTTGTTAAAGAAGGGCCAGCAATTAATACTTCATTTTAGTTTTTGTCAGGATCAAGTGAAACAGGTCTCTCTAGAAACCCCAAACCCAGTTTGACCACCATGCAGTTTTGACAAGGATGTGCCAAGCTTACTTTTACAGTTTTTGCATTCTGATTTTTATACTAAACTCATATTAGAAAGACCAAGTGAGAAAACATTTTAAAAATCTTCAGGAGAAATATAAAGTAACCCGTATGGAAACCATCTATTGGAAACCACTTAGTTGGCTTCATACTTAATTTTAGTGCTAAAGTCACAAAGCATGTAACCAATGCCACATCTTCGCCCTCAGATGTACTCGACAGTGCTTTGACTGTATGTATCTCTGCCTCTTTAGTAGAATCATTTAAAAAAACACAGAAGAAGAAGATTTTAAAAAAAATACACAAAAAAGTAAAGATCAAGTCTGACATAAGAAATGCTAAATGCGTATGACAGCTCATTTATTTGTTTTTCTCCCAATGTGAAATTTTATAAATACAGAACTTTGGTAACATTTTACTTTAAAGTCCTGCATCACTTAACAGTTACTGCATCAATTTATAGAGTCAAGCCTAAACTGTTTTATCAGATTTACTTCAATAGTTTGAGAGATACGTATGTTTTTCTTTTTCAGGCCAATTAGCCAATTGTTGATTACAACATTTAGATAGAATATTTGTATCATTAATTTCATTATCTGTCTAAGGTGCCATGGTTTGCAAGAGAGTGTGGATACCCATGCAAAAATATCCAG